GGCGGGTCGCGGCGCCGCGGCGGCGACCGGCGCGGCGACCGGCGCGGCGGCGACCGGCGCGGGGGCCGGCCCGCCGGCCGCGGCGGCGACCGCCGGCCGCGGCCGCGCGGCGACGGGGACCGCGAGCTGCTGTAGGACCGGCGCCGGCGCCGCGACGAGCTCCGCGAGCTCCAGGACCGGGACCGCCGCGCGCGCCGCGGCGTCCGGCTCCGGCTGTCGTAGGAGCTCCGGCTCCGGCTCCGGCGGCCCCGCGACCGCGACCGCGAGCTGCTCCGCGACGACGACCGGCTGCGCCGCCGCGACGAGCTCCGCGACGACGCGCTGCGGCCCCGCCGCGTGTTGTTCGGCGGCGAGCGAGAGCGCCGGCTCGGCGGCGAGCGAGATCGCCGGCGCAGGGAACCCCCTGCGTCCATGCTCCGCGGCGAGTTACTGCACAGCCGGCTTCTTGCCGCAGCGCAGCGAGCGTCGGCGACGCTAAGCTGTGGCCAGCGAGGTGCGCGCGCCGCGTCCCCGCACCCGACACCGAGAGAGACGAGCTGGCCTTTTTACACGTCAGCACGCGCATCTAATTCGTTGGTGCGCGGGCATCGCGGCGCAGCGAGATTGAAACGAGGGGTATATTCTGACGGGAATGAGAAATACCTCATCTTGCGCTGGGAAAGCCCCCCGATACCTCGCAGGTCCGCGGCCGGTCGCGCTCGCGCCCGTCCCGCGCGCCGCCGCGTCCGCTCGTCCATGCGCGCGCCGCGGTCGAAGGAGGAACACCGCCAAAAATATCTGTCAATCCTCCGATTCCACCCTCCGAAACGAGGGACCGTGACGATATTCGGAAGGACCGACCAGTCCGACTGACGACTGCCCCGCCGCCCGGACGCGCCTCCCGCGCGCCGCCGCGACGGCCGCGATACGCTGCCGCCTCCGCAGGTCGCGGCGACTCCGCGCCTCCGCCCCTCGACCTCGACCTCGTCTCGGTTCGGCGCGGCGCCCGCGTCCGCCTCCGCGCGCTTCCCGTCGGCCGATGATGATCAATGATGAGCGTATGTCGGACCGGTTCGCCGGCTTGAAGAAAGACACATTTTAGACTACGATGGACTTAGGCTCCTCCCCGCCGCGGCCCCCTTCGAGAGACGCGCGCGGCCGCCCCGGCGACCGCCCGCTCCCCCCGCAGGCGTCTCCACGAGCTCCGTGGCGCGTCGGCCGCCGCCGCGACCTACGCGCCGCGGCCGCGACCTAATGCACAATTAAGTGGCCGCGCGGGGGATCCAGCCGCAGTGCGGCGACGCGACCTAATGCACAGTTAAGTGGTCGCGCGGGGGATCCAGCCTCACCAGCGCGCGCCGGATGCTCGTGTTGCTGACGCAGCGCTTCTTGGACCGGTCCCACGCGCATCGTCGCTTGGACTGGGCGTGGGTTAACAAGGCGCGAATCTTGTCGGCGCGAATCTCGTCGCGCTCCTGCTTGAGACGCGGGCCGCGAATCTCGTCGTCAACGAATTCGAGCTGGGCGGCAGCCTCTGATCTGCTTTTCAGGGCCGCGACGGTCGACCGCAGCGACGCCCGATCCGCGCGCTCGGACGCGCACCGTTCCTCGTCCGTGATCCGCTCGCACGCCGCGTCGCCGCACGACGTGTTGGTCCATTTTTCCACGGCGTACGTGAAGTCGACGTCATCGAGGCCGGACGACAGGTCATGCATGTTCCCCATGTTGCGGCCGAATTGTTCCGTCTCGTCCAAACCCATCACGCGCTGGTGGTCGAGCGCCGTGTAACGACCGATCTTCTTGCCCAGTTTTCCGGTGCCTCCGCTCCAGGACTTGACTCCTCCAACCCCCTGACTCAGTCGATAGCCCATGTTTTCGTCCTCGGCCCCCCATCCCTCAAACTTGTTCGAGTAGCCTCCGACCTCCGCGTACTGCGCGTGCGATATTTGCAGGGCGCCGCCGACGAGCATCATGTTGTGCTCCTTGTAGTCCCACTGCGACGTCGTCGAAAGCAGCAGCGTGGGCTTCTCCTTCCACGCGTAGTTGTTCTCCGGATTCTCGGGGATCTGATCGACGTCGTGGAGCACCATGTAGTCGTGGCTGCCGTTCGTCAGATGAAAGCCCACGTTGAAGAGCTTCCCCTTGTTCCAGGTGCCGTGCGGCGACTGCTCGACCACGACGATGTCGAAGGGCACCTTGACGAAGTCGCACATGTAGGCCGTGAAATTCCTCAAGTTCCGATCGCGTCCGATGCCTTGCGCGAGGGGGTCGCCGCCACCGTCCTCCCGGAAGGGCACGACGATGGCGAGGCGGTGCGACGCGTTGGTCGACGGCGCGGGGATCTCGTCGACTTCTCCTGGAGCTCGAGGCCGTCGGCGAGCTCGGGGCGCGCCTGCTCCGCGCCTTTCGGCGAGCTTGGCGAAGAGGGCCGCAAACTTGTGCGCCTCGTCGAGCTCCTTCTGGAGCTCCGCGACGGCGGCGGCGGATCCGTCGTCGTCGAAGAGGATCTGGCGCGGCGGCGGCGCGGGCGGCGGCTTGGGCGCGCGTGCTTCGTCCGCGCGGCGCTCGTCGGCGGCGGCGCGGGCCGAATCATCCGCGCGACGTCGCGCGGCGGGTTCGCGACGCGCGTGGCGCTCGACGTCGAGACGTTCGGTCGCTCGAGGCGCGCCGTCCGTGGGCGAGTCCTGCTGCGCTCCGAGATCCGCGAGCTGAGTCTCCGCCAGGCGAACCCGGTCGCGGAGTTGGTGGATCGATCGCTCCTGGTCGTCAATGATGTGAAACGCCGAGATCCATGTCCACACACCGACCAGGGCGAGGGCAATCAGGGCGACCTGCTTCACCTGGCATGTGCGCCGCCTCGCGCGTGGCATCACGACGCGTCCAGGGGCGCGCAACATCGCGTCGCCAGGGGCGAGTCGCATCCACAAAGAAATCGCTCAAATTTCGACACGGAGCCTCCGAGCCGCGCCCCCTTCGCCTCGCGCGCGCAGCGGTCGCCGCGCGCCCGATATTTACGCCGCGCTCGCGCCCCGGGCGAGGTTCGCGGACTTGCGCGGCGGCCGGAGGGACGTCGGGGACCGGGGGTCGTCGTCCTTGGCCGGGTCCGCGGGGTTGCCCGGGAGCTGCGAGACCTTGTGCGCGTGCGCGTGGTCGAGGGCGTGGGCCGTGGCACCGAGGGCGCCGAGGAAGTCGGAGTGGCGGAGGAAGTGGGCCTTGCCGCCGAGGGACTTGAGGCTGTTGGCGATCGTCGCTCGCGCGAGCGGGTTCTCGTCGACGAAGCCGCCCGCGAAGAAGACGCGCTGGCGGCAGCCGAGCTGGGCCGCGTGGGCCCGCGCGAGGACGCAGCAGGACTGGGCCACCATCTCGAGGAGCGCGCGGCAGACGTCCGCGTCGGACGTCGACCGGAGGTCCGCGCGCGAGAGCTTGCCGAAGCTCGCCGCCGTGAGCGACGGCGGCAGGCCCAGGTCCACGCAGCCCGTGGACCCGTAGATGTCCTCGACGAGCGTGTCCACGTTCGCCGCCTCGCCCTCGGCGGCGAGGGCCAGCGCCTCGTCGAAGGTCGTCGCGGACGTGAGCGCGCGCGCGAGCCCGAGGAACGTCGCGCCGCCGAGGGCCTGGCCGGGGAACAAAAATTCCAGTGCGCGTCTTCGACCGATGGTGACACGAATTCTTCAAAAACTCGACGAGAGAAACGATCTGTCCAAAAATCAGCCGAATCGACGTCGATGCGACCGAGAAAATTCGCCGGTCGTTTCCCGCGCCGCCGCGCGCCGTGCCGCCGACGCGCGCGTAGCCCTCGCGCGACACGAGCAGGCACGACACGCCCGAGCCCACGTTGACGAGCAGCAGGGGCAGCAGGGGCTTGGGCCAGTGCGCGAGGGCCTCGCACGCGCGCGCGTCCGACACCGTCGGCGGGCTCGACGGCGCGCGCGGCGCGGCGCGCGCGGCCCGGAGCGGGTCCGCGGGCCGGAAGACGGGCCGCCCGTCGGCGCGCTCGGCGACGGCCGCGGCCCGGTCGGCGCCGGTCTGCACGTCGCTCGCCGTGTAGAGCTCGTCGTCGACGCCGAGCTCGTGCAGCAGCAAGATGCCGTCGACGATGGACTGCATCTCGCGGAAGGGCGTGAGCTCGATGCCCAGGGCGCTCCGGAAGGTCTGCCGCAGCTTGTGCGCGCCGCCGCCGGCGGCGACGATGCGCCGCGAGATGCGCCGCGCGGATTCGTCCTCGTCGTCGCTGCAGCCGAGCGCGGTGAGGACCTCCTCGAGCTCGCCCGTGGACGACGAGACGAACTGGAGCGTCATGGGCACGCCCCCGACGTCGCAGTGGAGCCGCAGCCGCTCGTGGGCCCGCCGCGGCGCCGCGATCCCGCCGCCGTCGCTCACGGGCGTCGCGATGACGAGCTTCGTCAGAGTGCCGCCGAGGTCGAGGCCGAGCTTCACCGTCGCGGGCGCGCGCGCGAGCTCCCGGAGCATGGCGCAGCTCGCGGACATGGACGGCTGGCGCGCCGGGGAGCCGCGGCCGTCGTCCTCCGACGGCGCCGGCGGCGCCGCGAGCGCCGACAGGAGCGGCGTCGACGACGCGCGCCGCATCCGGTCGCCCGGCGCGTCGATCTCGCCGAGGAGGGCCTCGACGCGCCGCTGGCGCCGCGCCTCGGGGTCGCCGCCGAGCTTCGACCCGGCGGACCCGGACCGGTCCCGCGCGTCGCCCCGCGGTTCGCCGCCGGCGTCCTCCGGCGACGGCGGCCGCGCGGGCCCGGGCGAGAGGAACGCGGCCGCGCCCGACGTCAGCGACGTCGCCGCGTCCGTGAGCATCTGCGCGTAGCCCCGCGGCGACGCCGGCGGCGGCGGAGAAACGTCGGCGGCGCCGGCGGCGGCCGTCGCGAGCGCGCCCGCGGACCGCGACGGCCGCCGCCGCTCGCCGAGGCCGAGCGTCTGCGTCTGCAGCGCCAGCGCCTCGCGGCTCGCGACGCGGCTCGCCGGCGGCTCGGGCGCCGGCGGCAGCTTGTTCCGCGGGTCCGCGCGCTGCAGCAGCTCGATGACCCGGCACAGCGTCTCGCGGTCCGCGGACCGGCACAGCGCCGCGGCGGCCTCGCGGAGCGACGGCAGCAGCGAGTCGCCGGTGGTCTCCGCGAAGCGGTGCCGCAGGAACGGCGAGTTGATGTGGCCCCGGAAGCTGTGCCGCCGGCTGCCGTTCCGGTTGAGGTTGTTGCGCATCATCTTTCGGCGGGGGTGCGGAGAAACGGGTTGCTTTTGTGTCGTCCCCGGCGGGCCGCGCGGCGCGCGGAGGCGGGCGCCGCGCCGCGCGGGCGGAGCGGTGTTCGTGTGACGGGCGCCGCGGGTGTTACGAGGGCCGGCGGTCGCTTTTCTCTAGAACGCCGGAGAGCGGCCCACCATCTCGAGAGGCCTCCTTCAGTTCACCTCAAACTCCGCTTCGCAGGCGCCGACGAACGCCTCAGCGACGTCGTCGCCCCGCTCCCAAGTTCTGGCCCTGGACGCGGTCCTGGAGGAACCCGCGCAGACACGTCTCGCTGGCGACCGGCAATTCGCTCCCCACTCGCGCGGCGACCGCCAAAGTGGCGGACTCTGAGTCGGACACCGCCGGTCTCGCCAATGATCTCTGCGCCGCTGCTAGCGGACACAGCGCAATACGAGCAGCGAACTACAGTAACATGTCTTGGAGGGCGGAACATGTTTGGCCGCTTGAAATTAACTTCACCATAAAACCTTGAATTTCGTATCCGAAGGCTTTGGTCGCGGCCACCTCGACACAAGATCCGATGGGCCGCGCCACCGTCTGCCTCGTCGCTCTCGCAGCAACGACGAATGCCTTCTTCACGGGGACCCCGCTGCGCGCGCGCGTCGCGCCGCTGAACATGGCGGGCAAGAAGCAGGGCTCTTCCAAGACGAAAGCCGATCCCATCTCCGACGAGTGCAGCGCGGACGACGTCTCGGCCCCGTCGGCCGACTGCATGGATTCGTACCAGGGCGCGCCTCCGGCGCAGGCGGCTCGCGAACGTGTGACGGGTCGCGTCGCCGGCCCCTCTCGCATGAGCTACACCGCGATGCCTCGCGAACCTCCGATGCTGCCCGCGGCGCCCGCGAGCGTGTCCCAAAAGGTCGACTCCCTCCTCACCGAGCTGGGCTTCGCCGAGACGGAGGACTCGCTTCCCAAGAAGATCGACATGGCGGTGAACGAGCTCGGCATGAAGAAAGAGGTCAAATCGATGAAGATGGTGGAGAAGGTGGACGCCTGCCTCGCGACGCTCGGGATGACGGTGGCCGGAGACGAGGCGGCTTTGGTGGCGCCCCAATCCCGGGAGACCCAACCCATGGATTTGGCGGCCCGCGGCCGTTTCAACGGCATGGCATACGGACCCATGCCCCTCGAGTACTACGGCGGCGGGTACGGCTGGGGCGGCGGGTACGGCTGGGGCGGGATCTCTCCCTGGGGTGGGAGTGGCCTCACATTCGCCGGCATCCAACAACGAAGCTACTACGGCGGCTACTACGGCGGCTACTACGGCATGGGCTACGGCGGCTACGGCGGCTTCTACGGCCGCGGCTACGGCGGCTACGGCATGGGCGTCGGTTACGGCTACGGCGGCTACGGCGGCTACGGCGGCTACGGCGGCTACTACGGCTCTACGACCCGTGGCCGCCGCTGGTACGACTCGCCCTACGGCGGCTGGTAGACTGGCCCGCGGGCCGCTGGCTCCGCCGGCCCCGCCGGCCGCCGTCGCGCGCCCCGAAGACGCTCGCGGTCTCGCGTCGTCGCAGTCGCCACTGTGCCCCCCCCTTCCCTCCCCCTGTTGTGTCAAGCTCCCCCCCCCCTCCCCACCCCGAAGCCTCCAGAAGGACGGGCACGGTAACTGTGTCTCGAAATGAACCGTATTCTAGTTTGCTCCGGCCGCGCGCCGCGCGACGAAACACCACACGGGAAACGAACTAAACGGGGCGCGGCGGCGGGCGCCCGGGGCCGCCCTCGACGCGGCCTAGGCGAGGCAGGAGGCGAGGTGGCGCTCGAGGCTCTCCTTCTTCAGGTCGCGGCCGATGAAGACGATGCGGCTCTCGCGGGGCTCGTCGTTCCACGGCTCGAGCGGCTCGCCCGAGAAGAGCATGTGGACGCCCTGGAAGACGAACTTCATGTCCTGGCCCCGGATGTTGAGGATGCCCTTCATGCGGAAGATGTTGACGCCCTCCTTGGCGAGGAGGTCCGTCAGCCACGCGTTCACGCGGACCATGTCGAGCGCGCCCGCCTGCCGCAGGCCGATGGACGTGATCGAGTCGTCGTGCACGTGCTCGCCGTCCGTGTCGAGGAAGTCGGGCTCGATGTCCAGCACCTTCTTGAGGTCGAAGGCCTCGACGCCGAGCACGAAGTCGAGCGCGAAGCCCTTGGCGCGCTCGCAGCGCTTCAGCGGCGCGACCTTGTTCAGCGACCGGAGCTTCGATTCGACGGCCGCGAGCTCGCCCTCGTCGAGGAGGTCGCACTTGTTCAGGAGGATGCGATCCGCGAAGGCGACCTGCTCCACGGCCTCGTTCTCGACGCCGTCGGGCTTCTGCTCCTCGAGGTGCTGCACGATGTGTTTCGCGTCGACCACCGTGACCAGCGCGTCGAGCCGCGCGCGCTCCTTGAGCACCTCGTCGACGAAGAAGGTCTGGGCCACGGGCGCCGGGTCCGCGAGGCCCGTCGTCTCGACGATGACGCCGTCGAGCTCCTTCATGCCCGGCGCCAGGAGCTTGTTGAGGATCCGCGACAGGTCCGCGCGGACCGTGCAGCAGATGCAGCCGTTGTTCATCTCGAAGATGTCCTCCTCGGCGTCGATGCGCCGCCGCACGAGGCGGTCGTCGATGCCCAGCTCCCCGAACTCGTTGACGATGACGGCGTACTTCTTGTCGCTGCGCTCCACGAGGATGCGGTTGAGCAGCGTCGTCTTCCCGCTCCCGAGGTAGCCGATGAGCACGGTCACGGGCACGCGGCCCTGGCCCACGGTCAGGGACGCCATGGTGTCGCGTGACTGACGGCGCGGGCGCGGACGCGTGGCAGGCGGTGGCGCAGCAGTCGCGGAGCGCGGACTGAGGTGCCGCACCAGACTGCGTGCTCGCGCTCCGCGTAGGCTGAAATTTCACTCAACATTGCCCGAACCGCTGTGCACGAGGCAGCCCACAACGAAGGCGTTTCGAGGTCGCGAGTCCGCGCGCTGTGGCGGCTCGAGAAGCGTATTCGCGGGGTTTTCCAGCCTCGGACGCGCGCACACAAGCATGAGCTTCGTCTACGGCAAGGGCGAGGGCCCGACGGCGCGCGACCCCTTCGACAAGGAGTGGTGGCGCAACGTGAGCTCGCGCCAGGCCGTCGTCAAGCAGACGGGGTCGCTCTGGGCGGACCAGTCCATCAAGCGGCGCAAGCCCAAGCCCATCACCTTCCCCGAGCCCTGGGCGGGCCCCGGGTTGGACCGCGTGCCCGTCGTCGTCGTCACGGGCGGCCTCGGGAGCGGGAAGACGGCGGCCGCGCGGGGCCTCGCGGCGCGCGCGGCCGCCGAGGCCGCGGCGGGCGGCCGCGTGCGCGGCGGCCCCGTCGTCGTGGTCACGCACCGCTACTGGCAGGAGCACGGCGTGACGCCGCCGCCGGCCGGCGGCGGCGACGTGCGGCACCACGCGGTCTTCGATTTCGGGAACGCGTGCATCTGTTGCGCGCCCGACGGCGACTTCCAGGCGCTGCTCAAGCGGCTCCACCCGGAGGGCATCGGCTGCGTCGTCGTCGAGACGACGGGCACGTCGGACCCGGCCCTCTTCGCGCGCATCCTCTTCCAGGACGCGGTGCTGCTGGCCAAGTTCGCGCTCCGGTCGATCGTCGCCGTCTTCGACGCGAGGACCGTCGAGGCGCAGCTCGCCAAGCCGGACCGGCCGGGCGCGAAGAACCCGCACCGCCTCCAGCTGCTGTCGGCGGACCGCGTCCTCCTGAGCCACGGCGGCGACTGCGGCGACGGCGGCGCGGCCGCGGCCGAGGCCGCCGCGGCCGCCGCGGGCGACGGCGCGGTCGCCGTGGACGTCGTCGAGGACCTGCGGCGCGGCGGCGCGCTCTTAGATGATGCGCTGCGACCGGCCCTCGACGCCGCGGCGCCGGGCTTCGCCGTCGACGCCGTCGACGCGCGGCGGCCCGCGTTTTTAGGCGACGCCGCGTACGACGCGGTGCGGCCCTGCCGCTTCGTCAAGGCCATGGTGAGCTTCGCGCCGAGCGACGGCGTGCTCAACGCCGTCTGCATCCTCGAGCAGGGCTTCGTCTACGAGAAGCAGCTCCGGGACCTCGCGGCGCGGCTCGGCGGCGCGCTCCGCGGCGGCGAGATCTGCCGCTTCAAGGCCGCGGGGCTCCTGCGGCTGCCGACGGGCCGCCTCGAGGGCGTGCTCCTCGACGGCTCCCTGGACCGCTGCGACGAGGCGCGCGTGCCCGTGGACCCCGCGGCCGCCGCGCGGGGGCCTCGATCGGCGTTCGAGGTCATGGACGAGGCCGCGGACGACTCGAAGCTCGGCGAGGCCGGCGACTGGGCGCCGGACGTCGGCGCGCCCTGCGTGCGCCTCTTCGTCATCGGCAAGCGCCTCAACGCCGCGGCCCTCCGCGCGGCCGTCCGCGCGACGGTCATCCCCGAGGGCTTTGTGTACGCGGCGGACGAGGAGCTCGACTTCGGCCTCTTCACGGACGGCGACGACGCCGCCGACGACCCGTTGTCGCGCCTCATCGCGGGGGCCCCGGCGGAGCCCAAGACCGAACTCACCGTCGACCTCGACGGCGCGGCCGTGACGCTCTTCCGCCGGCCGGACGGCGGCTACGCGGCGAAGCGCGACGGCAACGACGCGGAGCTCGAGGTCATCAAGATGTTCGCGTCGGCGCTCTACGTCTCCCTCCCGGACGTCGCGTCCCTCCCCGCGCCGCCGCCCGTCATGTAGGCGCGCGCGCGGGTAAACGTCGTTCGTGTTGCAGTGCACGTCGTTTCTGCCGGACATGAAAAATACGATGTGAGAGCCTGCCCGACATGGTGGTCGCAGCCGAAGAGGTGGACATCCCGGAGAGCTGGAGCGGCGTCGTCCACGACGCGCCGTTCGTGCGCCATGCGAAGCCGCGGAGCTGGCTCGAGTGGGCGCAGCTGCTCTACTCCGAGCGCCACCTGCACCCGCGCGGCGACGGCCGCGTCGCGCCGGCGACGACGCTGGCGGCCTTCACGCTCTGCGACGTCGCCGTGTCCCGCGCCTACACGCTCGAGATGACGGCGACGGCCGGCGGCGAGAAGCGCGTCACGCGCGGCCGCTTCGCGGAAAAAACTATCGCGGAGCGATGGCCCCGCGGCGGCTTCGTCCGCGGCGTCGTCGAGGCCGCCGAGGACCCGCAGGGGGAGGCCTACACCGTCGCCTACAGCGACGGCCCCTACCGCACGGACGACGCCAGCGCGCCGCCGCCGGGCTACGCGCGCGGCGCGACAACCGCGTCGAAGGACGGCGTCCGCGTCGCGCGGCCCCTGGCCGCGTGCCCGAAGACGGGCGCGCCGCGGCGCGTCGTCCTGCGGGGCGTGCCCGCGGCCCTCGTCCGCGCGGACGCGGCGCCGGAGCGCGCCGCGCCGCGCCGGCCCGCGGCGATCCTCGCGCTCACGGGTGTGCAGGTCGCGGCGGCGCTCTGGTGGCGGCGCTACGGCAAGGTCGGCCTCGTCTTCGCGCGCACGCGCCGCTCCGGCGACGCGCCGGGCCCGCGATTCCTCTTTTATCGGTTGGTCGGCGCCTGGCCGCGCTGCGGCGACCTGCGGGGCGAGGTCTGGCGCCTCTGGACGTACCAGTTCGTCCACACGTCGTGGCTCCACCTCGCCGCGAACTGCTTCGTGCAGCTCCTCTTCGGCGTGCCCATGGAGGCGGTCCACGGCTGGCGGCTCGTGCTCCTGATCTACTCGGCGGGCGTCGTCGCGGGGCCGCTCGTGTGCGCGGTCTGCGACGCGTACGCGGTCGTCGTCGGCGCGTCCGGCGGCGCCTACGCCTTGCTCGGCGCGCACGTCGGGGCCATCTGGAAGGACTGGGACCGCCTCGCGACGGGGACGCACATCCCCCGCGGCGCGCGGCTCGCGCTCTTTTCCTCGATCCTGCTCGCGGACGTGTCGCAGTGGTACCTCACGCGGCAGGACGACGTTTCGTATTCGGCGCACCTCGGCGGCGGCGGCACGGGTCTACTTTTAGGCGTATTGGTGCTGCGGCGGCGGCCGACGCGGCGCCACTTCTTCCGGCGGCTCCGGCGGCCCGCGTTCCTCTGCGCGCTGATTTTTTACGTCTTCTTCCTCGTCTTCGGTATTTCCTGGTACGCGGCGACGTGGCCGCCGCGGCCCGCGTCGCACGCGTGGTACGACAACGCGAAGCGGTCCCACCGCCCCTGCTGCTTCCAGGTCCTCGAGTGCGGCGAGGACCCCGCGGACTTTGCGGATCTGACCTGCGCCAAGAGCAGTGGCAGCTACGTGCTCGAGGACTTCTCCGCGCGGGCGTACGGCACGTGCGGCGCGCTCCGCGACTACCGGAGAAACTCAACTATGTAGCGACGAAGCGGGCGAGGGCCTTCTCCGCGTCGCTGTCGCCCACGAGCAGGCCGCCGTAGCACGCGGGGATCGACGCGTCGTCCGCGACTTCCCGGAGCGCCTCGAGCGTCTCCGCGTTGGACCGCGTGACGCGGATCTTGCGCTGCGTGCCCGCGGCGACGAAGGGGCGGATGAAGCGGTAGACGAGCGCGAACCAGGACGGCGCGTTCGCGATGACCATGAGCCCGCACCGCTCCGGGTAGCGCGCGCGCGCGAGGACCGCGCACCGCTTCACGTAGTCGAAGCGGACGCCGCGGCACTGCGCGAGCTTCAACCCATCTAAATCCAGGACCGTCACGTTGTAGGACGCGGGCCCGTCGGCCGCCGGCTGGAGCTCGCGCCACGTCCACTCGTTGAGGAAGACGTAGTGGCGGAGCATCGCGTCCGCGTCGACTCCGGCCTCCGCCAAACCGTCGACGTCGACGCGGCCGACGTTCTCGACGTAGACGGGCTGGCCGTCGCGGCCGCTGCCGGCGTAGTAGTGCGGGTAGCACCGCCGGATGGCGCCGTAGAGCGGCCGCGGCTCCGCGAGGATGCCGTCGACGCGCTCCGCCGCGCGCCACCGCCGCGTGTCGTCCCAGCGCCGCCGCGCCTCCGCGACGTCGCCGCCGCAGCTGGCGACGTACTTCTGGGGCACGTTCGCGTCCGGCGCGGCGTCGGGCCGCGGCGCTCGGCGCGCGACGGCCATATCCGCGGCCGCGAGGTTCGCGCGGAGCCGCAGCCAGCGCAGCGCGGTCCGCGCGCGCCGCGCGAGGCCCGCCCATTTCGTCTCGCGCGCGCCCGCGCGCTCCGACGGCGTCGGCGCGTTGAGCGCGTGGCCCGGCCGGTCGCAGCGCGCGATGGCCGCGGCGACGTCCGCGCGGAAGCAGCGCGCGTCGTCGGCCCGCGGCGCGTCCCAGGCGGCGTCGAGCGCGTTGCCCCGCGCGGCGGCCTCGGCGAAGCGCACGTAGCGCAGGCGCCGGTCCGCGCCGAGCACCGCGTGCGTGCCCCGGAGCAGCGACGCGGAGCGCATCGTGAAGAGCAGGTCCCGCGGCACGCGCGCGAGCAAGGCCGCGGCCGCGGACGACGGCGCGGCGTCGTTCTCCGTCAGCAGGTCGCGCACGTGGCCCCGGAGCGCCGTCGCGTCGCTCGCCGTGATCTTCGCGCCGAGAGACTTCGCCTCGCCGCGGCTCGACGTCGCCGTCAAAAGCAGCCGCGCGACCTCGAGCGCCCGCGGCCCGTCGTCGGCGAAGTTCAGCGCCACGGCGTGCGCCGTCGCGCTCTGGAAGTCGCGCGTCGCCAGGGACTCCCAGAGCCCGCACAGGCTCCGCCGCGTCGCCGGCGCGAGATTCCGGTAGAGGCCGTGGTCCAGGATCCAGAGCGTAAAATCGCCGCGGCCCCGCGGCTCGACGAGCTGGTTCCCGCCGTGGGGGTCCGCGTGCACGAGGCCGTGCTCGCAGGCGAGGTCCGCCAGCGCGCTCACGAGCGCGTCGCCGACGCGCCGCTTGTCCACGCCGTGTCGCGCGTGCGCGTCGACGTCGTCGACGCGGTGGCCCTCGACGTAGTCCATGGTCAGCACGCGCTTCGTCGTGTGGCTCCAGTGCACGGCGGGCACGCGCACGCGCGAACCGTGGCGCCGCGCGAGCAGCGCGCCCGCGCGCTCCGCCGTCGCGCCCTCGTTCACGAAATCGAGCTCGAGCTCGACGCCGTCGCGGAACTCGGGCAGGAGCCAGGCCCAGTCGTCGGCGATCCGGGGGTCCGCGAGCCGCGACAGCGCGAAGCAGACCTCGAGCGCGTAGAGGTCGCAGGCGATGGACGCCTCGAGCGCCGGGTGCATGACCTTGACCGCGACGGCCGTCCCGTCGTCGAGCGTCGCGGGGCGCACCTCGGCGATGGACGCCGACGCGATCGGTGGCCGCAGGTCCCGGAAGGCGCCGGGCCCGAGCTCGCGGTCGAGCAGCGCCCGCACGGCGCCGTCGTCGCTGCAGGGCTGCGAGTCGCGGAGCGCCGACAGCGTCCGCGTGTACGCGTCCGGCGCGACGTACTGCAGGGAGCCGACGTGCTGGCCGAACTTGCACAGCAGGCCGCCGTAGGTCGCCGCGAGGTCCCGCAGGCGCGCCGCGCCGCGCGCGTGGCACGCCTGGACCTCCTCCGGCGTCGTCGCGCCTTTGTACTCGGCGATGGTGCGCAGGCCCTGGAACGTCACGTCGCCGACGCGGAACGCCGCGCGACCGGTGCGATCGAGGTCGTCGCGATAGTACGCCGCCGGCGCCAAGGCCATGCAGGCCGCGGCCGTCGCGCGCTGCATCGCGTGGCAGCCTTGCGGAGAGGCAGCACAGAGAGGCGGCACGTCGCTCGACGTCGAGCGATTGAACGCCAACATCACGGCACGATCACGTCCATAGCGGCTCGATGGGGCTGCCTCGCGCGCCGTAGCGCCGGTTCGTCGACGTCTGCACGCGCCGCCGCGCCGATGCACCGCTTCGCGCACCTCGCGCCGAAGCAGGGCAAGCCCGAGCCCAACTTCGTGGGCACGGAGGACGAGATCGACGCCAAGTGCCAGGCGTATTTGAATTCCCACGGCTACCTGCCCATCGACGCCCACTACGCCATCCTGCGCCTCGACAAGACGGTGCTGGACCAGGAGTCCTTCGACCGCGCCTTCCGCAAGCGCTACGACAAGGAGATGAAGAAGCTCGAGAAGCTCCGGGACATGGGCGAGGACTACGACGGCGGCGAGCGCGTCTTCCGGCGGCTCACCGTCGCGCACCTCGCGCTGTGCAAGCACGCCTACGAGCAGGGCGGCGAGGCGACGGGCGTCACGCCCGACCCCTTCGACCTCGACAGCGCCAAGGGCAAGCTGAAGACGGCCGTGCGGACGTCGCTGAGCGCGGGGCGCATGCGGAACATGGGCTTCGGCTACTTTGGGGGCAAGAAGGCCGCGGCGCCCGCGCCCGCGCCGGCGACGTCCAAGGCGCCGGCGCCGGCGCCCGCCGGCGCCAAGCCCCGGCCGCGGACGCCCGAGGCGCTCGCGCCGCCGACGCCGCCGAGCCGCCTCAAGGGCGCGGTGCGGAGCTCGATGCGTTTATGGAAGGACGGGCGGCCCACGCCCGACGAGACGCCGCCCTGGGCGCCGGACAAGCAGCACCCGAGCCTGCGGGGCAGCATCAAGGCCGCGACGCTCTTCGGCGGCCGCGGCGGCGACGGCTTCTTCGCGCCCGCGCCCGCGCCGGCCTTCGACCCCCGGGCCAAGCTCAAGGCCGCCGCGCGGTCGTCGACGTCGGCCATGAGCCTCTTCGGCGGCGCCAAGGAGAAGGGCGAGGAGCGCGCGGAGCAGGCGCGCAAGGCCAAGGAGGAGAAGGGGCCCGAGAGCGTCGACGAGGCCAAGTCCTACTTCCAGCGCCGCCGCTCCGAGCGCGCCGAGGCCAAGGCGAAGCGCGAGCGCGAGGAGAAGGAGCGCTTCGACAACTCGCGCCTCGGCAAGCTCCAGCGCGAGCAGGAGCTCGCGGCCCTGCGCGAGCAGGGCGAGGCCGCGGCGCCCGCGCCCGCGCCCGCGCCCGCGCCGAAGGGGTAAATTTTAGTAGCCGCCGCGGGGCGAGACGAAGGCCGCGACGACGCCGGCCGCGTCGCGCGGGATGAAGGTCGCGGCGGCGACGCTGGCCGCGTCGCGCGGGACGGCGGCGCACTTGGTGATGACGGAGACCCAGACGCGGCGGTGGTCGGCGCAGTATCGGTCGAAGTCGGCGAAGCGCTTGAGGAGCTCGCGCAGCTCCGGGCGTTCTATGTTTGACACGAGCGCCCCCGCGCGGAGGAGAGCAAGGAGCGCGCGACGGCGCCAGAACTCGGAACGGGTCGCTGGGCGCACACTCGGGGCTGGTTTGCCCGCGAGAGCAATGCACGGATGAGCAGGACCTGGAATTTCGAGTGGAGTGTGCCCGTGTAAGGTTCTCGCGTTCACATCGGCAGCAGCCCTGACGAGAGCGGCGAGGACTCCGTGCGTTTTTGGCCCTGGTTCTGTACTACAGCAAATCGCGGCGAATGATAGCGGTGTGTAACCACTTGGGTTTCGCGCATCGACAAGCGCGCCTCCTGCTACCAGGACGGACACCATTTCGTCGGAACGCGCGTGGAACAAAGGCGCATCGATGATCGGACCCTCGAAGTTCGCGTTCGGGTCGACTCCAATCTCGAGCAATTGCCGGACCAGCAGAACGTGATTGTTTCTTAGTGCGTCGTGAAGATGGATTCGCGCTAACCTTGAGCCGGGTCCTAGGATCGCGAGGTCGGCCCGAGCAACAGAGATTTGATCAGCCATCGCGAGCTTGAGCTTTTCAACCAGACATCAACAAGCCGACATTTCCCTCTTAGGGAGAGCATCCCCTGGTTCCGGGCAGCCACAATGAGTGCGATCGAGGCTGCCGGCACGCCAAAGCCGCTCAAGGGCAAGTTCGCGCGCCGCTTCCGGTCGGCGCGCCTCGCCGCCGCGGCGGCTTCGAAAAGCGACGACGCGCCCGACGGCCCGCGCAAGAGGCGCCAAGAGGAGGCCGACGACGACGCCGACGAGGAGCCCCGAAAGCGGGTCGCTACGACGCAGACGAAGCAGGGGCTGGAGCAGACGAAGAACGAGCAGAAGAAGGAGAACCGGCGCCGCCTGGCGTCCGCGGACCACGCCGAGGAGTGCGACGACGACAACGCGTCCGTTTTGAGCGCGGACTACGCCGAGGACGCGGACGACCTCGAGCAGGAGAAGCGCGGCCGGGACCGCCAGGCGGCGGGCGGCGCGAAGAAGAGCAAGGGGCCCGTGGACGCGAGCGCGGGCGAGTTCAAGTCGACCATGGCGAACAAGCTGCAGGGCCTCGACGTCGACGCGGCGTGAGCCCGCCGTCGCCTCCCCAACCCCGGCTAGATGCACTCCCTATCCGGCTGGGCGTCGAGGGTCGCCGGGGCGGCCTCGGCGTCCGGGGCCGCGGCGCGGACGTCGCGGACGCGCATGAGGATGTGGTCCTCGTCGAGTTGCTGCCGCGCGACGGACGCCTTGCCGAGGCGCCGCCGCACGAAGGTCTCCGTGCGCGGGAAGCCGCCGGAGGCGATGACGACGAGCACCGCGGCGCCGCCGATGAACGCGCCGACGAAGAGGACGACGACGACGAGCACCGCGGCCTTTTGCCGCAGGATGAGCTTCGTCGTGTCGGAGCACGTCGGCGGCGGGTTTCGCCGCTCCAGGGCCGCGAGGGACTCGACCTGGGCCGGGTCCGTCACGGCCGACGCGTCGCAGACGTCGAGTCGCTCCGACGCCTCGAAGACGACCTCGTAGGGCAGCGCGAAGTCGCGAAACGCGTCGACGCTGTCGCGGTAGTTCACGAACTCGTAGACGTGGTGGAAGCCGCGGGGCGCGGGCAGCGGCGCGCCGTCGTTGCCGTAAAAGGCCGTGCCGCGGAGCGTCGCGCGCACGGGCACCGTCGCGTTGCCCGCGGCGCCGCCGAAGGTCCAGCCGGCGGCCGAAAACTCGTAGAGCATCTCGAAGGCGATGTAGCTGTTGTTCGCCGCTCTCCGCCACAGGTCCGTCGCGATGCCGCGCGCCGACGACAGCCCGAGGTATGTCTCGCCCTCGGGCGCCGCGGCGAGGAACTCGTTGGACGTGCGGAGCTCGTGGCGCGCGAGGTCGACGGTGAACGAGCGGCGCTCCGGCGTCGCCGCGCAGCCCGCCGCGACGCGCGGGCCGCCCCGCTCGCGGCGTTCGGTCCACTCGACGACGACGCCCGAGGCGAGTTCGACCAGATGGCGCGACGCGCCGCCGTCCTCGACGACGACGAAGGCGACGCGGCCGTGGTCGCCGTCGTACGCTTCGTGCTGGAGCGTCGTCGTGTTCATATTGATGAGGTTCGCCTCGACGCTGAGGGAGTAGGTTTCCGGGAGCAGAGGAAAGTCGCGCGCGTGCACGGTTGCGAGGAGGAAGCACGAGGTCATCGAGAACATTCGAGCCATCCTCGACGGGGCCGGGAGCAGAGGAAAGTCGCGCGCGTGCACGGTTGCGAGGAGGAAGCACGAGGTCATCGAGAACATTCGAGCCATCCTCGACGGGGCAGCCTCCAAAAACAACGAGGAGTCAATGTAGGGTGCAACTAGCTCGCCAAACGATCGAGTGGCAGCTCGTGCCACAGCCGGCCGCATTGCGTGCGCGCCGCCGCCTGCCCGCATCGATTGCATGCGCCTGGCCGCCCTGGTCGCCTGCCTCCTCGCCGCGACGGACGCCATGGCGCTGCCGAAAAGCCTGCGCGCCGTGCTGGGAGGCTCCGGCTCGGCGATCATGGGCGAGGCGGCCATCGTCGACGCCGTCTGCAAGCTCGCCGGCACGGAGACGCCCGTCGTCGCCTACCTCGGCACGGCGACCTACGACTTCGAGAAGTTCCGCGAGGGCCAGGTCAAGGAGTTCCGGCGCCGCGGCTGCGAGGTCGTCGCCGTCGACGTCGCTCGGACCGCGCCGCCGCCGGCGGACGTCGCGGCCGCGCTCGAGCGCTGCGACGCCGTGCTCGTCTCCGGCGGCAACACGCTCTTCGCCGTCGACCGCTGGACGGCGCAGGGCGTCGACGCGGCGCTGGAAAAGGCCATGCGCCGCGGCGCGGTCCTCTGCGGCGGGAGCGCGGGCGCGATCTGCTGGTTTGACGCGGGCCACTCCGACTCCATGGACCCGGACTGGTACGCGGACGTCATGATCGCGGGCGGCGGCGCGGCGGACCCGGCGTACAAGGTCGCGCCGGGCGAGAAGCCCTGGCCGTACGTCCGCTGCCCGTGCCTCGGGTTCCTGCCGGGCCTGGTGTGCCCGCACCACGACCGGACGCAGTCGAACGGCGTGCTGCGCGCCGAGGACTTCGCGGGCATGCTCCTGCGCCACCCGGGCGAGCAGGGCGTCTGCATCGACCACTTCGCGGCGCTCGTCGTCGACGGGGAGGACTACGCGGTCCTCGCGCTGGACGGCAAGCCGGGCACGCTCGTCGCCGGCGGGACCGAGCCCGACTTCAGCGGCGCGGGCACGCCGGCGATCTGGCTCAAGTCCGTCGAGGGCGGCCGCGTCGTCGCCAAGGCCGCCCCCGCCGCGGGCAAGCTCGCGGACATCCTCCGCAAACCGACGGCGGTCGTCGAGGACGCGCGCATCGCGCGCGCCCGCGAGGAGAACCCGAGCAACGTCGAGCGGCCCTAGGTTAACCATCGTAGGCCCTCGTACTCGATGGTTTCCGGGGCCCGGGACTCGTCGCGCCCCCGCAAAAGTCGACGTCCCCGCAAGTGCCCCCGCCAATTAAAAAAAGGCATTTGACCTCGAGCTCCGACCTCGTGTTCAAACTGCTCGGCTGCGAGGTGGGACGCCTGGCAGCCCGCTGCCTCACTCCGCACCCTAGAATATGAGCGAGTCAACACGCATAATCATAAACGCTGGAGGCAGGATTTTTGAGACATCCAAAACCACCCTGCTCGCCTCGGGGTCGGGCTATTTTGAGGGGCTGCTCGGGAGCACGGGTGAAACAATGAAGGGCAAGAAGCGCGCGCGCGTCAGCGCGGATGCCGGGGATGACGCGCCCGCTGAACTATTCCTCGACCGCGACCCGGATGTATTCGCCGATGTGCTGAAGTACATGCGCGCGAATCGCCTTCCCGCTGCGGTGCGTGCGGACGCGCATCGCCTCGACGATCTCAAGTCGGAAGCGGAGTTTTTCGCTTATGACCGGCTGGTTGCGGCTTGCGACGAGGCCCAGCCCGCACTGCCGCATGCTCGCAGCGTGACTCTTCATGTTTTTAAAGGTCCGCGCAAAATACTTTTCGGCGATGTTGTGTCTATTCCTGTGCCGGCGGGCCAGGTGCTCTGCATTTCCCATGTCATGGCTGAATTCGACGATGGGTTCGGGCGGCTAGGAGTGGAGCGCGCCGCAATAAGCGCCAGCAACAGCAGCAAACATATGATAATTGCGAAATACGTATATGACCACAAGGATGCTTTGAACTCAGCAGGAAGCCTCAGAAAGAACATAGTGATGGACGGCGGTGAAAACGAGGAAGTGCAGTTAATTGCGATTGGCTCATCTTGGAGCGTCCACGCGTGGGTTGGCCACCCCAGCAAAATCCCCGGCCTCAGCTCCAAGATCTAGGTGCTAAGTAACAGAAGACTCGAAGAGAAAAAACAGGGAATGGGGTTATCCGGAACTGTCAATCCTCGGCGAGGAACTCCTCGTCGTGGGACGCCGTGTTGTTGAAGTACCAGAGCGAGCCCGCGGCCGTCGCGACGAGGCCGAGCGCGCCGTCCGCGGAGGGGCAGAGGCTCGTCGGCGCGGCGTCGAGGCCGAGGCGCGCGAGGGGCGCGAGGCTGACGACGCCGTCGCTCGCCTCGTCGGCGACGGCCCAGACGTCGAGGCGGTCCGGGAGCGCGACGAGGACGACGCGCTCGCCCGTCGCGAGCGCGGCCGCGCCCGCGGCGCCCGCGGGGAACGCGTTCGCCGGGAAGAGCAGGTCCCCGCTCCGCGCCGCGGCGACGAGCCGGTCGCCGCGGAAGGGCGCCAGCGCCGTCGCGTCGGCGACGTGGGGCGCGGGGCTCTGGACGAGGTTCTTGTCCGCGGCCAGGGCGAACGTCGACGCGGCGCCCGACGCGTGCAGCGCGGCCGCGCCGCTCGCCCCGAGCGCCGCGAGGCCGACGACGGCGTCGCCGGCGTCGACGGACCGCTGGAGCAGGCCGCGCCGCGCGGCGTAGCAGGCGACGCGGGACCCGTGCGCCGCGAAGAGGAGGTCGCCGCGCGCCGCGAACGCCAGACCCGCGCAGCCGTCGGGCAGCTTGACGCTCAGGGGCACGACGCGCCGCTCCGCGAAGACGACCAACGTCGGCGACTTGTCGAAGCCCACGGCGAGCAGGTCGCCGTGGGCGCGCATGACCGTCACGCGGCGGCCCGGCGCGTCGGCGCCCGCGTAGTCGAGCGTCGCGTCCGCCGCGCGCCGCGACGGCGGCCGGCCCGCGTCGACGACGCGCACGCGGCCGTCGGCGTCGGCGCAGGCGAGGTCCGCGCCCGTCCAGGCCACGAGGCCCGTCTCGAGCTTGGCCTCGAGCAGGAGCGCGCAGCCCGCGTTCCGCGGGTCTCCCGACGGTTCGCGCGGCGGCGGGCTCGAGTCGAAGAACCAGGCGCCGAGGTCCTCGGTCTTCGGCGGCTCCGTGTCCGCGTCCGGCGCGCCGTCGTAGTTGAGCGCCTCCCGCGGCGTCGGCGCGGAGACCTCGAAGCGCTCCTCGCTGCCGTAGCCGGACGCCGCGTCGTCGTCGCCGAAGCAGCCCGACTGCGCGAGCTCCGCGGACGCGGCCGTCGCCAACTCAAAGACCGGCGGCGGGTCGCTGCGCTTCACGTCCCAGACGCAGACGCCGCCGTTGTCGTCGCAGGTCACGAGGCGGTCGCTCGGCGAGAACGCGGCGCACGTGAGCTTGCCCCCGTGCTCGTCGATCTCCGCGGCCGCGTTCGCCGCGGAGCGGCCGTCCGTGGGGCGCGCGCAGATGATGCGCTTGTCCGTCTCCTTGGACGTCACGAGAACGGTCCCGTCGGTGGAGAGGCAGCAGAGCGCGTCGCGCGCGTGCTGCGTTTGGTTGGACCCCTGCGCGAAGAAGGCCGCGTCGAACTTGGACGCCTCGGACCGCTCCGTGGCGACGACGCGGCGCACGTCCAGACCCACGAGGAACGACGCGCGCCGGTTCCGCCGCGGCGGCGCGGCGCCGTCGGCCGCCGGCGACGCCGCGAACCCCAAATTCTGCCGCGCGAGGTCGACGCAGTAGACACCGCCGTCCTCCTCGACGCAGTAGAGCGTCATGGGCCGGTCCGTGGCCCAGAAGACGTCCTCCAGCGGGCTCACGGACCACTTGGACTCCGCGAGGTCCACCGCGAGCGGCGCGCGGTCGAGCGAGTCGCCGTCGAAGAGCGACACCTTGACGGGGTCGCGGCTCGACACGGCCGCGACGACGCCGTGGTGCGGCGACACGGCGACGGCGACCTTCTCTTCGACGGACCCGCCCCAGGAGTTGGGCGGCAGCGCCGCGTCGACGTTGACCATCTTGAGCGGCGCGTAGTCGTCGCCGCACGCGTAGAGGACGACGTGGCCGTCGCGCGCGCCCGTGTACATGAACTCGTTCCGGAAGGCGACGGACGTCACGGGCCCGCGGTGCTGCTTGAGCTCCTTGACCGTGCGCACGACCGCGACGTCGAAGACGCGGACGCTTCCGGACGCGAAGCCCACCGCGAGCGTGCCTGTGTGGAATTCAAATCTTCAACCCGACTTCAATGTGCGCGATGCGACCGTTTCGACGCAAGCTCTTCTGCCGTGCTTCGAGAACCCAATGAGAGCGATCGATCCGTCCAAAAATCAGCCGAATCGACTTCGATGTGACCGAGCTAGAGAGCTCTCAAGTTTGGTCAGGACCCCCCAAACCAGTGGTTGAATTCGGCACAGGAGCGTGCCCGGGTCGAAGTTCGGCCGCCAGGCGAGCGACAGGGGCTCGTCGCTGGGCGACGCGAACTCCGCGAGCTGGCCGCCGTTGATCTCGTCCCAGACGCGGATCGTGCCGTCTTTCCCGCACGTCGCGAATCTTCCGCCGACGTCCGCGTGCGCGACGTCGAAGACGGCCCCCACGTGGCTCCGCACGAGCGTGGAGTAGCCGTGGGCCGACACGTCGAGCACGCCCAGCGAGCCCCGCGACGTGCCGCAGGCGATCTTCAACCCGTCCGGCGCGACGGCGACGTCGACGACGGGCGCCTCGTGCTTCGCCTCCATGAGGTAGTCGCTAAAGTCCAGCGGCCAGAGGCGCACGTAGCAGTCGTCCGACGCCGTGACGACGTAGCCCGGCGTCGCGTCGACGCGCCGGATGGGGCCGTCGTGGAGGCGCAGCACGCAGAGCAGCGCGCGCTGCGCGTAGCTCAATTGGAGCACGTGGCCCGACGTCGCGGCGACGAAGACGACCTTGTCGCCGCGGCTCAGCACGTCCTCGACGCAGGCCCCCGGGTCGTTGGCCGCCCGCAGCGCGTCGGCGACGTCGAGCCCGTCGCGCGCGCCGTAGACGGGCTCGAAGCACAGGTCCGTGAACGTCGCGTCGCGCGCGTACTCGTGGAGCGCGCCCGGGCAGCCCGGCAGGTGGCCGTGCTTGAGGCGCCAGAACCGCACGTTCTCGCGGCCGCAGGACACCAGACGGTCCTGCTCGTAGGGCGACCACTTGAGGGCGACGACGTCGAAGTCCGAGAGCTGCTTCGACAGCGTCGCGTACGACAGGTCGAGGTCGCGGTGCGGGTCCGCGGACGCGTCCAAGAGCTTGTTGTGGGGCGCCTTCTTCAGGTAGGGCGCGGCGCCGAGGCCCCGGCGCTTCACGGTGACGTGCTTCTTGCCCGGCCCCGCGCGCGCGACCTTGAGCATCTGCGACAGCCGCGGCACGTCCCAGACGACGACCTGCACGCGCGCGTGGCCGTCGAGGCCCACGGTCGCGAGGCGCTTGGCGTCGTGGCTGAAGGCGAGGCAGGTCACGGCCTTGAGGTGGGGCCGGAAGTCGCAGAGCCACTCCGCGCCGCCCGCCACGTCGCCGCCGCCGGCCGCGGACCAGAGGCTCACCTTGGGGTCGCCGCCGCCCGACTGCGCGGACGCGAGCGTGAGGCCGTCGCGGCTCGCGGCGAGGACGACGATGGGCTCGCCGTGGGACCGCTTCGGCGAGTCGTCGACGAGGAACCGGGGCGCGTCGCCGTCGACGTCGACGCGCGCGACGGCCCGGCCGGACGCGTAGACGCAGCGGCCCGGCGCCGTCCAGGCGACGCGCGGCGACTTGAGGCCCGCGTAGCCGATGCGGTGGGCCAGCGTCAACGCCACGGAGGCCTCTTCGACCTCGCGCGGCGCCTCGACCTCCACGGGCCGGCGGTGCTGCACCGTCGGCGCGGCCGTCGCGCGCCGCGGCGACTCGGGCGAGTCGGGCTCGCTGTCGTGGGCGCCCGGGTGGCCCGCCTCCAGGGGCGGCGCCGCCGGCGCCGGCGCCGGCGGGAAGCGGCGGAACTCCGAGGGCTCGAAGCGGCCCGTCGCGACGCTCCGGAGCCTGTGCCGAAACCAACCACTGGTTTGGGTGGTCCTGACCAAATTTGAGAATTCTCTAGCTCGGTCAAATCAAAGTCGATTCGGCTGATTTTTGGACGGATCGATCGCTCTCGTCGAGTTCTCGAAGCCCAGCCGAAGAGCTTGTGT